GAATAAAACAAGACGCCTTTTTACTTCCTGTTCTGGCCCCCATGGCTCTTTGGTATGTGCTGGCAACACTGAACTTGGCTTGGTGTTACCATGACTTCTGAGCTTTGAGGGCTGATTCTCCACACACACCCTGCCCCAAGTCTCAGAAAGATTATTCTGGTGATAGCTGAATAGCTGGAGTTAGCTGCATAAGAACACAGAGGAAGTGGTTCCCTAGCAACAGGAGCTTCTGAAAGCCTCTTAGCGCCCCGCACTTCTCTGGCTTTTTGTTGCCTGTCAGCAAATGGCCAGAGCTGTTGCACCTGCTCTGAATCCGGTCTACCAGTCGACTCCAGAGGTTTGGTTTTACTAAGTCTGAGGGCTCTGTTCCTCTTTGGATCAAGCTTGTGCGCTCTGGGGCTTCTTTTGCTCCTGGTTAGACCATACTTCCCTCAGATCTTACTTCCTTCTTTGTTCTTTTAGATTTTGACCCCAAATGGAAAATAATGAGGTGACTGAAGAAAATTTGAATTGCGTTCTGTTATAATAATGTTTCTAGGCACATTTTTCAGATGTGCTGAATCTATGAAGAAAATGTTTTACTTTCCTTTTCCCCTCAGAAGAATTGAGTCTTACCCCACTCTTCCTTTCAGTTTGTCCACAGATAGCAAACAAATTCTTTACTTTTTAAATATGTCAACATCTTTAATATGTACTTGAATTTGCCAGATGGTTGGAGCAGTAATAAAGTACCAGTCACAGTGTATTTACTGCCTCGGGCTCTAGAGACAATCTTAACAAGAAGCACTGGTCATGTCTTTTCTCTAGCTCCAGTGTTCTAGTTTAGGAAGTATAAATTTGTATAGCCATTGCACATAATGCTGGCCTGGGTCTAGAACTCCTGACTGGAAATCAGTTGTTTGGTTTTCAAACAGCAGTCTGTATGAGAGCAGCAAATCCACAGGAGAGAATTATATATTATTTATAATATATAATATATGCCTATAATATATAGTTATATATAATTTCATATATAACTATTTAATATAATTATATATAATATAACTATATATAATTTTATATAATATATATTATATATGCCTACAAGTTGGTTTCAAAGCACTGACTATGTAACAAAGAGTGCTGGTAATAAATGACAGCATGCAGCTAATTATTTTGAAACAGGGTTTTACTAAGTTGCTCAGGCTGACCTCAAACTTGGGATCCTCCTGCCTCAGTCTCCCAAGTCTCTGTGATTACAGGCATGCACAACTGTGTGTACCTGGCATGCAGATAATTATAATGAGAGCCTAAGAGCCCCCAAAATTCATGTCATCTATAATTTTTAAAATATTTATATTCATTCATTTATTCAGCCAATGAGTATGTACAATTGTCTTCTAAGCAGAATACACTATGTTGTGTTTTGTGGGAAAACATAAATGATAGTCAGAAACCTTAGGGAGATCTCAGTGTAAAAGAGGTTATCTAGATGTCCGTGTGACTAGTAACTGACAGGCAAGATGGTAGTTTAAAGAGAGGTAAGCCATATGTGATGATGCGATGGTCTTTCTCTTGCATCACATCTTTCCATGCGAGGTTTGTGGAGAAGGTTTAGGGTGAATCCACCTTTCAGAGGGATCAAGCAGACTGAGTGTGAGGGAGAAGGAGAGCTGAGAAGGTTGTCTCTGTAGTGGAGCTAAACAGAGGGCTTGACCCAAGACTATGAATCCAGCTCTTGTTATTAACCTCTCATTTATCAAGATAGCAAAACAAAGTGAACTCGCCCTGAATCATGATGTTCTGTTTCCAGCCAAATGGGATATTTTTAATCAATGTTAAGAGCTTGACGTTTGTCAGCCAAAGTGACATAAAACAGAAATCAGGATGAGAATTTATCTGAGATCTAGGAAAAGTAAATATAAACCCTAGCTTAGGGGAAATTTGAAATGCCACTGTTTATCTTATTTTCCTCCCAGGCATAAAGAAGAAAAGTTGTCTTAATAGCTAACCCCTCTTTCATAGCCATGTGCCCCCATAGGCTGAGGGGTCTCTCCAGGCTGATATGCTCAGTCACAACCATGGTCATGATCACAGGCAGGCAGAAAAACGAGTTATAAATGAATGGAAATGTGGGGGAAGAAAGGTCCACCAAATCAGACAGCCACGGTGTTCTTTCTCAGGCTGCTTAAATTAGTGGAGAGCAAAAATCTATCCGCTATTCTTAATACAGCCAGGTGACAAGCCTTTGGGAGATCATTTCAGACTTACTAAAATAGCCACTGCCTTCTGTGGACTTGACACCTCTTAAAGATTTATGAAGTGGAGAATGCAAGAAGGCAATAAAAGAGGTTGTAGCCAAATAAATGATTAGTACCCCATGGGAAGAAAGGACAGTGAGGTCCCACCCAAAAAAGGAATACAATTTCCCCAAGGACGAAGCATGAGGCTGGGGTTCTGATGTAACTAAGCAATTCCTAAGGCATAGCCTCCTCTCTCTTCATTACTTTTAGTATTACCAGTTTTGAACCTAATTGCAAGAAGATCATGATTGATTATTATTTTTAAGATATTATAGATGGATTCCCCATGACCCTTGATGGGCAGATACCAGGCTTTGCCTCCTATGCCCATTCACATAAAGTAAAGAAATTGCCAGAAGCTGTGGAGCACATCTGTAATCTCAGCATATGGGTAGAACTTGAGGTAATATTCAACTTGAGGCAAAATTCTTCTCTAGCTATGAACATTTGAAATCACAAGTTATGTTCATAGCTAGAGACAAAGTACTGAGGTTGGCTTTGAACTCGTGATCCTCCTGCTTCAGCCTCCCAAGCTGCTGAGATTACAGATGTGCTCCATAGCTTCTGGCAAGAATTTGACTGTGCTGGCACCTAGATTTTGGACTTCCAGCATCATCAAGAATTGTAAGAAAATAAATTTCTATTGTTTAAGCTAACCCAGACTATAGTATTTTGTTAAGGCATCCTGAGCTAAGATAACCAGTTCTTTTGAACTAGCTAAATTTGCTTTTGCATCTATTTGTATAACCCAAATACACTGCTGAGTGTATATTTGTATTTTACCAAAACAATGTTACCTTAAATTATTTAAAGTATCACATGTCTGAAGACCCCAAATCACCAAAATGTGTTTTATCAGCTTATCTATCAAAATTGAGAGTTACAACATAGCTTAGTAATTGGAGCCACTAAGTAATTTCCACAAGAAAGGAAAGTACCACTTGGTTATTTTCTACCTAAGAAGAAATTACAGAGGGTGATAGGGCTTTGTTGATGATCAATTATATTATTTCAGCAAACACATTTGGTTAAAGCACATTTTCCCCTTCTGCTAACACTGCTGGTAAGGAAAGCAAAATCGTCTCTTCATTTGTGAGATAAAAGAACACTTATCTCATAGAGTGTTATAGAATCACTATAAATCCTTTGAATCCAAGCCAACTTGGAAGTGGAAGCCATATATAATTATACCAGATCAAGGATGAAACAATTACAACTGGATTAAAAAAACCTTTTAAAGCAAGTTTTTTTTTTTAATTAAAAAAATGGGCGGTAACAAAATTGGGCATTCCTCTTAGAGAAAAAGGATGCACCCACATATTTTGAAATATTTTTCCCCTATGGACCCTGAACCACGAATCACATAACTAATTGTATGGCCATAGGCAGTTTGACTACTTGGTTGATCTGAGCCTCAGTTTCCTGGTCATTAAAGGGTTGGAATGCATTATCTGTAAGGTCCTTCAAGTTCTGAAATTCTTTGATACTAGCTACAATTTATGCAAGATCCTAGTGTAGAAAATCCAGGAAACAAAAAGAAATCTTAGTGGATTTTTAACTTGGAGGAAAGCACTCTTTATTATCCAGTAGTCACTGGGGTCATACTGTGCTCATATTGGAGCTGCATTGGTTCATGTTTGGTGGATCCTTGGCTTTATTTCTAAGAGAATGAAAGCAGATGGAAGCCTTTTTTGAGAGATGTGGATTAAAAGAGAGTTTGCTTTGGATGTGCTAAATTGAGCAATGAAGGCATATGGAAAAAAAGTTAACTACTTCCTACAATTCTGGAGAAATCATTCATTTCTGCACATCATTTAACCAATGCTTATTGGTAGGCAGTATAGTTTGTTAATGGTTCAGAATCTGGATTCAGGTGTTCTGAGTTTAAATCCTGGTTCTACCACTTATCTGCTTTGTGGCCCCTGAGCAAGCTACCTAATTTTTTTAGTTTCCTCATCTGTAGTTCCCATCTCAAAGGCTCGTGGAAAGGGTGAAATGGGCTTATACAGATAAAATATTTATAACAGTGCCTGGCGCATACAAATCAACCAACAGATGTGTTACCAGGGCCACAGTCTGTGTTGGATACTAATGGCAACTCTCAGAGATGTTACTATAGGCCAGATCACAGTTGGTATACAAATGAGGAAGGAGGATGATAGGGCAAACTTCAGAGAGGAGGTAATCCCAACAGAGCCTCAAAGTTGGGATAAGTCTTTGTTGGATGAGGAAAAGGGCCATTCATTGTATGAGGGGCAGTGTTAGCCCAAGGAGGAAGGTGCAAATCCTTCCTACACTCCGGTGACTGTATTGGGTATTACTGACGTTAGGAGTGGAAGAAACATCATGAGAGAAGCAGCTAAATAAGTAGGCCAATCATAGGGGTTCCATGAGAACCGTGGACACTGATTTAAGCTGTTCAAGCCATAACCACAAAGGCTGGAATTGGAAGAAGAGAAATCAAGGGATGAGATTGGACTTGATCCAGGGTCTGGTAGATCCTGAGGTTAGGCTTAGAGGGGATAACAGAAATCTTAATAATTTTTACATTTCTTGATTCTCAATGTCATTGCATAAGATTCCTGATTCCATCCCTGCATTTCCTGAGCCAGGGACCTTACAAATCTGAGTCATGATCTTTAAAAATGTATTGAAGACTTACTACCTAGAAAGCTGTAAGCCCAGCAGATGCAAAGGCCAAGCATAGCAGTATCTTACCTAGGGTCGTTGGTGCTGTTCAGGTTCAGAGGAGGAAGACATGCTTTTGGCTTGGTTAGTCCAGGAAAATGTTGTCAGGCAGAAAAACAATCTAGGTGGAAAAAGCATCATGAGCAGAGTTGGAAAAATGAGAATGTATAAGAAGGGGAGCTAAAATAATAATAATAAAATAAAAGCAAATACAAGTTAGGAGGAGGAGGAGAAGAGCTAAAGAGAAAATATAAGTAGTACCTTGACCTGAGTTTGTGAGGGCCTGTTAGAGTCTGTAAACAAGTCAGGATGGCGCCTGGCATTTTGCCAGAGGGAGTGGTTTGTGAAGTAACGCCAGCGAGCCATTAAGTGTGGAGATTCCTTATTGGTTGACTGCTGTATCTATTTTATGTTAATTAGATAAGCTGTGTGGAATATATATACCCCTCCTGTCCTACAATAAATGGCTCCTACTCCTGCTGTATCAAGGTACACAAGTTGTTCGACACCCCCCCCCCCCCCCCCCCCCCCCCCCCGCTATTTTGCTGCAGCTGGACTGCGGCAAGGGCCTAGGCCACTAGCATGGATGAAGCTTACGTAAGAAGAGCTAGAAACTGGAAAAATGAGCTCTTGGCCACAGGGATGAGTGAAAGAGAGTGTTGATGAATGATTAAAGAATAATCCATCTGAAAGATTGGTCAAAAATAGAAGGAATTTTGAGGTGTAATGTCAAATTAAGACCTCTAAGAGAAAATTCTTTCTAAAAGGCAGCTAAAAATGTAGACTGATGTTTTGAGAAAAAGGTTGGCATTTGAATAAAAGTTTTGAGTGTTATCCCCTTAGAGGCTGTATTTGTGCTCTGGGAATGGGCAAGTTTTCAGAGTGACTGGATATAAAAATAAAATGTGTCTAATTTGCCTGGAAATCTTTAATGAGTTCTTCTAGCAATATGGAGGACTAAGGTGAAAATCATGGTGGGGGGGACACTAATTGCTGTATACAAATTAACAAAAATTTTTGTAAATGCACAACTAATTGCTAAAACTATGATGGAAATTCCCAGAGGCCAAAAACAAAGCAGCAGCTGAAAATCAGAGTGGTAATTTTGTAAATTGATGCTGTCACTGCCCTTGGGGCAGGTTTCAGCAATCTCAGGACTTGGGTTTTAAGCTTATCTGAGTAGAGGAGCCTATTAGTTATCTTGGGCTGTGTAACAAATTACCATGAACTTAGTGACTCAAAACACGTATCTCACAGCTTCTCTGGGTCCAGAGTTCAAGCAGGTCTTAACTGGGTCCCCCACTCTAATCTCTGGCTGCTTTTGGTCACTTGAATCGTTTTGTTGTTGTTGCTGTTGTTTACCATTTTCTTTTAGATTTTATTTAAAGTTTACAGTTTCCATGTGAATACTGGCTCTGCCATTACTGGACGCAGAAATTCATCACTTCTCTCTCTGTCCACTGCCATCCTCTTGAAAATTTGCCACTTTCATGTGGATAAACCCAGGCCTGTCTATTTTTTTCTTAAATTTGGACACTGAGCATGTTTTGAAATCCTCAAAGCTATTTTATCATTTTTAAAGAATCAATGATAATGTCTTAAATGTGTAACTCAATTAGAGAAAAAACAGCAGAGACCAGTTTATAGTGAGATAGAAGATCATGCAATGTCTCCATGTTCCTTCACTTCTGGGCATATGAGCTGAGGCATAGTCATTACTATTTGTTTTCTGTCTTCCACAAAGTGATATGATAGGTTTCCAGAAATGTTTTAAACTTCTTGCTGTGTGAGAAGGGCAAGATACAAACTAATCCTGCAAATCATGGGTCTGTTGAACTGATATTATCTCAGGATGACCTGTGAAAATCAGCTGTCAGGTTTGGAGTTGGAAACTCCTTCAGTTCTGTTCTTGCTGGTCAGCCGTGTAATTCCTCTGCCACATCCTGAGTCTCTCCTTCCTGGAATTTGAGGGTTAATAAGGAATCTGTTTGCATTTTTCCACGTACTCATTTGCTCAACAAATATTTGTTAGGCACCCTATTTGTATTACTAAATTTAGTTTGTTTAATGGAAAGCTTTTTTAGTGTTTTTTGGATTAGGCGTTAGCTGGTGTTTTCATGTTCTCATGATTTAATTTATTTCACAAATGTAGTTATTTTATGGATAATTCAGTGAAATAAATTAATTGATCATTAAATTTCTAGAGGTTTTTCCAAGGAACTGCGAGTTCCTAAAATACTTTCTTTAGTATTAGATTGTTAAGTTTTCTCCAGATAATTTTAGCATCAAATATATCTCCTTCTGTTAGTTTTTGAAAACCATGAGCCCATATATGGTCTGTATATTGATTCTCTTAAAGATCTACACAGATTAGTTTGTATTGGCCAGCTTCACAATGAAAGACCTATATAAATGATAACACCATCTCTTGAAAGGATTATTTACTCAGTGAAGTGCTTTGACCAGCCATATGATTTTTTTAAAATCAATTGCTTATTCCTGCAAATGTCTCCAGCCTCATTTCTGAATCCCTTTCCTCTCTAGCACTTCCTTTCCTGTGCCCACTGGGCTCTGTCCTCTGTTGGTTGGCCTTGCTATTCCTCTGCCAAGTCCTGTTACTATTCTTCCTTATCTGATGTCCTGTCTTCTCCTCTCTCTACCTTTTCCCTGGATTTCCTTTATATAATAATTCTTATTCTTATGTACAGATTTTTTTGTGTGTGTGCAGTGCAGGGATTGAACCCAGGGCCTCCCACTTGCTAGTCAAGCACTGCACCACTAAACTACATCCCCAGCCCTTATGTGCATATTTCTGAATCCCATTCAGATGCCTGTGATCCCAGAACCTCAGGAATCTGCACTTTTCTTCACAGGCAATGATTTGTGCGGTAGTACAGGGACTTGTGCTTCAAAAGATTCCACACTATCCGTGTCCAGTGGTGCATGCATATAATCGTCAGCAGCTCCAGAGGCTAAGGCAGGAGGATCTCAAGTTCAAAGCCAGCCTCATCAATTTAGGGAGACCCTAAGCAACTCAGTGAGACCCTGTCTCTAAATAAAATACAAAAAGGAAGGGCTTAGATTTGACTTAGTGGTTAAGTGCCCCTGGGTTCAATCCCTGATACTGAAAAAAAAATTTCATGCTCAGTACAATGCTTTGCTGTCATCATCTTGAAATGCATTTTAGTTCTGCACTCGTTCCCACAACCTATGTAGCTAGCCCTGCATTAGGGAGAAACACTCAGGGAGTTTGAAAATACAACTCTCAATGGAGGTGAAGGAAAGAAGCAGGGCTAATGATGAAGTCAGGGAACAGCAGGGAGAACAGGAGCTTGGGGGGGCGGGTCATTTGCCCTTTTACTCCCTGGAAAGGTCCTAAATTAGAGGGACAGGTTTGGGTACATGGTGGTAATCTTATAAGTCTTATAGATCATTTCTGTTCAAATGATCACAGTCTATTCTGATCTGTTTCGAGGAATCTAAATCAAATTCCAGGAAAGGGACCTACCTCTAAAAATAGGTGGATTTAATAGTTGAACCATAGAGATTATACATGGGCCCACCTCTTCTATCTAAACAGGACAGTAGTATAAAAAGATAGATATGCTCATCCTAGGGAAGTCATGAGCAAAACTTCTCCCCAGAGGGCAAGAATGTACTTTTTATGGACACTGACTTTGAGGAGCTCTTATGGTAGTGGTTCAGAAAAGAATCCTGGTAAAGTAGAAAGAGAATTGTGAGGTAGAGCTGATGAAGAGGTGTGCAGGTGGTGTCCAGGCAGAGCATGGAGATTCATATGTAAAAGGAAGACATGCTAGATAATCGTAAACTATTCTGGAAAAATAGTCTATATTGATTCAAGAAGGAAGGTCTTTTTAATAAGCAGTACAATAGAAAGAGGTAGGGTTTGGATTACAATTTTATGCCTTTCTATTTGTTTTGGGATTTTTGTTTTGTTGGCTCTCAATAAATGTACAATAATAATAAAAGTTCATTAGGTAACCATTTCAAGCACAAGATCCTGTTGTGATTCATAGAATTCAAACAGTGACATCTGAAACCTCTTTACTGAAGTTATTTTTCAATACACAGACGTGACTGCTCTTGAAGAGAATTAATTTCAAAACACGGTTTTGAAAATGAGACCTAAGTAACAAACATACTTATGTATGTACAAGCCAGCTCTGCCTAAGTGCATTGTTTTATTTCTTATTCCTTGAGATTCTTTGGAAGCAATGAGGATTTGTAGGCAATCCTTTATTTTGCTAATGATCATTTTGATAAATCTTGCAATTCAGCTGTTTTTCCTGCAATTCTAATCCCAGGGAGAAGTAAGAGAATAGTAAACTCAACAGCTGAGTCTTAACATTGAATATGGGGCAGCTTGCTGTAGAGCAAACTGCTGAAGTGATGGAGAGAAACACATTTTGATTGCTTTCTTAGATGTCTCAATTATTGCCCTGAGCTTCAGTATGGAAAACAGGCAATTCCTCACCAAAGGAAGACTCCTATCCACATACTGCACATTGTAGAAGAAGATAGGACTCCACTGACTTCTAACATGGTATAAATTATTCATATACTGTGTAACCTCAAAGGAGATATACACATTTCATGTCTCTTAGGTGGAAAGATTGCACTGTAGTGACTTAAGTGTGTTTTAATATTAATGCTTGGTATTAAAGAGCAAATTTTAAAATCATGACTTTTTCCTTAAATTTATAAATCATATTATGCTATATATAATACTAATATATTTAAAAATTACTTTTATGTCCTTGATTGCTATCTGATCCCTTAAACTTAACCTCCTTTGAACATTTTCAGTTTCATTTATATTTACAAATTTTACATATTTAGTTTTCTAAGTCCTATTTTTAATAGAAAAATCTTCCCAAGATTTGTAATACAAAGCTAAAATATACATTTATATGCATTTATGTAATCTTAAATTCTTTTTCAGTACTGTTTACAAATTTAATTTTATCATATAAGCTTCAAAGCATGAATCCAAATCTATTAACCATGCCAAGTTATTTTAGATAATACAAATTTTTAAAATAGAAGACATATAAAATTATTCCTTATGCTAACATGAAAAAAAATAGTAGTACTATAAAT